TACTGGTACATTGTTAGTGTGTACTGGTATAATGTAAGTGTGTACTGGTACAACGTAAGGGTGTACTGGTACATTATTATTGTGTACTGCTACAATGTAAGTGTGTACTGCTACAATGTAAGGGTGTACTGGAACAACGTAAGGGTGTACTGGTACAACGTAAGGGTGTACTGCTACAATGTAAGTGTGTACTGGTACAATGTAAGGGTGTACTGGTACATTGTTAGTGTGTACTGGTACAATGTAAGTGTGTACAGGTACATTGTAAGTGTGTACTGCTACAATGTTAATGTTAACTGGTACAATGTAAGGGTGTACTGGTACATTATTAGTGTGTAGTGCTACAATGTAAGTGTGAACTGGTATAATGTAAGTGTGTACTGGTACAATGTAAGTGTGTACTTATACAATGTAGCTGTGAACTGGTACAATGTAAGTATGTACTGGTATAATGTAAGGGTGTACTTGTATAATGTAAGGGTGTACTGGTACAATGTAAGTGTTTTCTGACAGAAGTTGTTATCCTAGAGATCTGAACAGAAGATTAGCTCACAGAAACATGGACTGCTGAGAAGATTGTTGTCTGTAAGTTATAAATTAACCTACATATGTACCACATCACTGCAGATTAGGCACTGATTGGATGATTGGTATAGTCTTTAAATCTCCCTATAACCAATATCTACTTGTAAATACCTTCACTGATTAATTCATTTTTTCAAAATCAAGCCATCATTAGTTTTTTATAATAATCAAGAAATTGTCTAATGAACATCATAAATATTTTCTTCATCTTATATTGAGAAATTTTCAAAACATAATTCTAAATATTTTACCCATATCAAACTGAATTTTTAAAACACCATTATTAATATTTTCTAAATTATAATCAATATGAATTTTTTCACAATGCCTTGAAAAGAAAACTATCATACATATTTCTTTCAAATAAAAAACGAGAAACAATTTTGGGAATAACATTAAAACTTACATTGTAAGTGATGAGCATGCTATCGTAGCCATCAGTAGCAAGACTTTGTAATTTGTCCAAATCACTGTTGCGGATCATCTTAACATAGCACTGTAATTCAAAAAATAGATAAAAATATAATATGTTTCCTTTTTACATTTCTGTTGAATAGCCTCGAAACAAATCAATTCCAATTATTCTTATGAAAAGTGAACACAAAGAAAGAATAAATGATTTTCTGATTGGAAGTTGCTCTGTTTGAGTTTTTTGTTCACTATATTACAGAACTCTTGTTGTGATCTTGTTGTGATGATAAGTTCACACTGTCAAAGGCTTTACTCAAGGGATTAGGTTGAAATTGGTAAACCTGACAGAACTGAAAACACACATGCATGGCCTTGTTCCTACATAAACGTCTCTTCTACCATTTGGTAAATTGTTGTTTTTTAAAAAAATTATTTGTCAAGAACCAAAGAAATCACAAAGAAAAATCTAATAGAGCTTCCTTTGTTGTAGTTTGAGGACTGAAGTGTATGATTTAACATGAATAGTTGTATGGACCACAGTTCCAGTCTGTTGTATGGACCACAGTTCTAGTCTGTTGTATGGACCACTGTTCCAGTCTGTTGTATGGACCACAGTTCCAGTCTGTTGTATGGATAACAGTTCCAGTCTGTTGTATGTTGTATGGACCACAGTTCCAGTCTGTTGTATGGACCACAGTTC